GTCGATGGGATTTGAACACCCAACCTACCACTTGGAGGGTTGACAACCTGACCACTTCACTAGGTCGCCACACCCCTCTTATAATCATTTACTACTAATCACCTAACTTCTTTTTATATACTTATTCAATATCAGAAAAAGATTGAGATTCCACAACGACTCTTGGCCACATTTCAAAATATGAAGGCAGTAAAGAAAAATCGTCTAGAGTAGCCAAGTTGGTTTGGAATTGCTGACCTTGACACCAATTTTTTAAATTGGGATGAATAGTTTTTTTATGTCTTACAAGCATAGTAGTTGTAGGAAAGTATTTTCCATATTTTTTACAGCACTGCCTTGAATGATTCTCAGCTGAGAGAGAAGGAAGATGTTCATCATATGCGAGAATTTTTAGATTGCTGAAGTATTGAAGCATGTGTATAGAATTAAGATAGTGACCATCTTTTCCTTTAGTTACTGGAGGTAAGAAGCCGTTATTTTCACCTAAAAATGCTACAGCTTCATCAGCTCGTTTTGGAGTACAGCATGATAAATCATTACATTTTTTAATATCTAAGGAATATCGACAAATTTGACAATAGGTTTCCACCCATAACCAAGGTACAGGCATATCATCCTCCATTGCATTCTGCATCTCAGTTGTTTCTAATTCTGATAAAAATTTAACATTAACAAATAGATTTTTTTCTTTATCAACATACTCGACATAAACAGGTTTGCCATGAATAGGGTCTTTTTTCCATAAATTAGCAAGAACCTTACCAGCATAATGAAAGTTAAGAAGATCCAATTCGTAATCACATACTTCTCCTTGTGAGTTTAGATGTTCTTCAAAATGATTAATTTTTAGTGTAACTTCAGCAAGCTTTCCTGAAAGCATCACCATACTTCTCTCCACAGGATTATATGATGACTGACCAGATGCGTGTGTTCTAATTGTCATATAATCCAAATCTAAATAACAAAATAGCTTACAATACTGATTGATGTTTTTTAAATAACAGGAGTTCTCATTGGGACCCCCATCTACAAGAATAACCCACAGAGGTTTAACCTCTTTATCACGCTTAAAGATTGTAGAAAAATCTTCATTATCTATAGAGATAGTAAAAAAAAAAATAATAATCAGTTTTATTAATTTAAAAAAAACAGGTGCTGAATAGCTATATCTGGTTTATTACAGCTATTCTAGGACAATTGATAAAAATTATTTTGGCTGAATTTGATGATTTTTGAATTTGGTATTGTTGACATTGGATTTTCAATATTACAGTAATTCTGATAACACAGAATTCAAAAACTTATCGAATTCGGCCGAATGGTCATCAGTTAATTTTTATTGTTGTTCCAGAATTTATGGAAACAGCTGTAATAAAAAAAATTTTAAAAATCTGCTATATAGTTTTTTTATTAATATACATAATGGCAAAAATACTATTCTTGATGAATCGACAGTACTGAACTTGATGGTTTAATAAAAAATACTGTTCTTGATAAGGTTCTAAAAACGAACCCTAATCCTAATTATTTTTCACTATAGTAGTATAGTATTTTAGATGTTCTTTTTTAGAACCCTATTAAGAATGGTATGTGGATTATTTTTTTTTTTGCTATCTATCAAAAACAGTACTGACGATCCATCAAGAATAGTATTTTTGCTACATAACGGATTTATAATGAATTTTTTAAAAATTTAATATTTGTTATATTCAGTGATTATTTTTCATTATGCAGACTATATGCGGCACACCAAAACAAATTGTGCACAGAAAAAATTAATATTTTGCAAGTAGTGCACATAGTTTTCTTTATTTTCTGCACAGAAAAGTTTTTAAATTGTGCGATGTCTGCACAATAAATATTAATTGAAAATTAACACTGGTTATATCCCTTATCCGTTAATAAAGATATCCATTATTTCTAATTACCTACTAAAGACAGGATATCTGCTATATATGAAATAGATGTAGAACTAATATGCCATTGCACCCGAATAAAAATAGACAATTGCAAAGCTTCATTTAATTCATTTGGGTTTATTGCTAAATATACTGATGGCGTTAATTTTTGAAATGAGCCAATAAGAAAGTCATAATCAGCAATGGATACAGGCTCACGAATAGTTTGCATAGTTCGAAAATGTTTTCCCACAGCTGGAATACCAACCGGGACTTTCGCTTTATCATCTTGTGAAAGTACTACAGAAAAATCTTCAAAAGCTGCAGCAAACTGTCTTGCATTCTTGACAGATGCAAGACAATAATGCTTATCTACATAATTGCTTCTCTCATCTCTTGAAACACCTGCGATACCAACAAAAGTGGGATGGTGGTGGGCTCTTGCAGCTAAACTGTGGTTCGACCGAGGTAAGATGTAGTTTCTCGTAGTTGTTCAGGCCATGTATATATTATAATTTTCTTCTAAAGCACTTCTAAGATGTTTCACTGTTCTAACCTTAATGAGTTCACGACTTCTTCATGCATCAGCTTTCCCAAATTCTATGCAACTATGAATTTGTTCATAAAGATTTGGGTGCTGGAATAGAAGGGACAGACGTCTGGGGGAATCATACCTTACGACAACATTATCATCCTTAAGTGCCCGAAGTTTTTTTATTTCAGATTTTTGTTGGTTATGTGCATGCCTTTTGAGTTTTTTAAGTCGTTCTTCTTCTTTTTTCATTTCGTTTCGAACTGCAGTTATCCATGAACTAAGATCATTATGAAGCTGAATATTAGTTGTTATTAAATTCATTGTATTTAGTTCTTCTAATTCTTTTTGTAATCTTTTTATTGCATTAAAAGCTTGTTTTTGTGCTGTTGCATTATGATGAATTGGTTCAAACGTAGAAGAACTTTGTAACTGTTGTTTACAAGGTTGTTGAAATGATTGATTGAAAGGAGATGGTGAAGGCTGCATACTAGTTGTGGAAACTGTCACACAACCACGCAATTGAGCTGGAGTGGTTAAGTATTCTCTAATTTTTTTTTCAATTTCTTCGATTTCTTCTTTTTTTACAGAATTCCACTCTGTGGCTGCCTCATTACAAAGTATTTGCTTATCTATTGATGGCATTCCACTTGATGCCATTTTGTAGTAGGCATATGCATTGACAAAACATTGGTAAGGATTGTCAGGATTTGAATATATATATTTTTTGTCGAACTTTGGCACGAATAAAAAAATCTGCATCATGAATTGTACAGTTTATTAGAAATGAATTTAAATTAAATATTTATTATATATATATATAATTTTTTTTATCTTTAGTTCATAATAATGCAACAAATATTTATATTTTTATTATAAAGTGATAAGATTTATCAAGCAGATCTTATTTTAGGAATTGACTTTTTTTTAATAGTACATTGATAAATGGGTTTAATCACAAACATTTGGTTCAAATTAGTTGAGTGAAGATATTTAAGGCGTGATTTTATAGATTATGCACAAAGACAAGAATAATAAGAATTGTTTAAAGAGGTGCGTATATTTCTTAGTTTTTTAAAATCAATTAAAAAACAATGATTCGAGAAAATACTGACTAAAAATCGGGTCTAATACCAATTTCCACCAAAATACTCGGAGTATTGTATCGGGTACTTTGTATGATCTTATTGATATAATACTAAAATCAATAAGTGGTAATATGAAAAATGCTGTGCAAAATATCTGAGTATTATTTACTTTTTCTATTTTTATTGCTTTTATGAATCAAGGATTTCTTTCATCCTCGAATGCTTTTGTGCATTTGTTTAAAGATAGGGCAATACGCGTTCATGCATAGAATCCATGTGTATTCATCTTTTCGAATACCAATTAAATATAGGCAAATGATTTTTTTAGAAATTACCTGAACGATAATGATTTTATTAGAATTTTGTACCTGCATGTCATAAAAATGTAAAATGACTCCTACCTGTGCATTATCTCAGACACGTGCATTTTTGTTATTGAGAGAAAGATTATTTTTCCCAGATCTTTTTCTAAATAATACCCACATGAGTGATACCAAGGAAAACCTGTAATTACAATACATTTGATAAGCTTTACAGTTTTCTGCATTAGATAATAATATCAGAACATAATAAATTATCTCTTTACAACTTTAACATAGTATTATTGCTGTTAGGTACCATTCAAATTTATTTACAATTTATATCAATATATTCCATATTATTGAAATTCTGCATAACTCGTATCGTAATCTTTTCAAATTTCCTATACATACAAATCTCGAATCATTCAGTTATAATTTGCATTTATCATTATTAATATAGGTTGTACAGATCTATAAATTATATGTAGTACATACATACGTACGTAAAACAGATCCATATGCATAGTACAAGCTGATTTACGTATAAGCTATACTACACATACTGATCTAGCATTATATACATATTAGATAATAGTTGATTATTAACGGTGTTAGTAGTATAGTATAGTTTTTAAAAAATTGAACTGGATCCGTTCGCCTATACTATTTCAAGTTGACAAAAATTAACAGATCAAGAAGCTATTAAGCAGGAATAATATTTCACATGAAAATAACAAGAAAACAGGACCAATCCTCATAATCAAGATTATGGAAGGAGTATTCGAAATAACCTTTCTCATACAGTAATTCTAACTTAATGGATACTGAGAAAAAGGTTGATTCAGGGAAAGCATAGTTGTAATTCTACACCAGCCATCGCCAATTTAGTTTTAGATAACCTCAATTTGTAATCAGCCTTCTTTTTCAAAGAAACATATTACATAGTTATACATATTAACAGCAGCTGGTTTATGAAGCTTATATGGATATTTCCAGCAAGGCTGGATTTAACTAATTTATAATAAAAACAAAATAAAGCATTGCACAAATTCAGTGAGTCTTGTGTTATCTGTAAGATATCGTCAATTAGTTCGATTATATAGAGTAAGGTATATATATGTATGATGAATATGTTGATAGAAAATATATACATATTTAATGAATTGATTTTATCATTTTAAAGGAGTAGATTGTTTATATATATATATATATATATATATATTGTTTATTATTTTAAAGGCTAAGAAGTAGATTTACATAGTAGTTTTGAAGTTGATTAGATTTTATACACTTTATTATTACATAAAAGAAATGATCGATATTATAGTTTAGTGGTAAATGATTGGCTTAGCGAAATACAAAATTTGCAGATCTTTAATAATTTTTGGCGATTATCAAATTTATTTAGACAATAAAAAATTCAAAAGTAAAAATTAAAAAATAATTAAACCTTGTCTCAGAATCTATACTAATTTAATAATTTTTGTTAACAAATCAACGCCAAATATATAAAATTTACCAAGTCTTGTTAAGACTTTGTTTCCTGTATAAGCTCTACCAGAGCTTTACCAGAGTACTGTAAGTTAAAAAGCAAGAGCACAAGAATAGTCTATATAAAACATGATCAATTTTATGATACAAGAGGTAATCTATTTTAGCTATTGTTTTGCTATAAGTAGCCATTAATATTTTACAATTATAAACAAGTCTTAGAGTATTAATTTTTCTATAATTTAATTGGTTAATTTTTAAAATCAGATGGAGGGGAGGGGGGATAGGCTACTAAATAAAAAAAATCAGGTGATTAATGACACCTCCCTTAGCAAAAGATTGTAGAAATAGTTACTAAATAAAAAAGACAAACACAAGTCATAATTATAGGTAACTTCAATTATATAGTAGACAATATATTAGATAGACAATATTTATAACCAGCAAATTTTAAAAGACTACCAATCTTTAATTAGATGAAAAAACAAACTTTATAGATATATACAGAGATATATATCCAATAAGCCAAAACTATATATAGTTAAATAAGAAAGCTGTACCAGTAATTAACTATATTTAGATGTTAAAAGAACTGGCCTTAAGTTTGCAAAGATCAAATATTATGAAAACAAAAGAAATTACAGAAAGCAATTATAAAATAATAACTGCAAAAATATGAAGTAAACACATAACAGAAAAAAATAATAAAACAGAAATTAAAAGAAAAGGACAATTAAGAACATTATATTTATATTATTAAACAAAATCAGAAGATTGAGAAAATTATACCCAAAAGTTGCAAAAGTGATTAGAAGCAAAAGAAGGTTTAAAAAATATTTAAACAGAAGTGCAAGATAAAAAGAAACATATAAACAAAATAAATAATATATAAAATACAATAGAAAAGCAATTATCACAGTAGCAAATAAGCATATACCTTCAAAAAATATACAACACAATAGTAAATAAAAGAACTAGTTATAAAGAACAACAATAAGAAAAAGATATCATAAAGCTCCAAAGATTAATTAAATATACAAAGATAAGAAAAAACCAAGAAGTAATAAAAGAAGAAAAAAGTAAGATAAATGAATAATTAAAAGCATTAGGCAACAAAATAGATGCAAGACTGTTAACATTATAAAGGCATTGGTTATATATTTGAATAAAAGACATGAAAAGATGGCAGAAGCTTTTACAAGAAAAAAAAAAGAAGAACTGAAAACAAGTATAAAGAAGGCAAATAGAAGAAAATATAAACAAAAGATGTAAAATAATTAAAACAGACTAAGAAAAAATACTAGCTATTCTTCTAAATAAACTATATAAAAAGATAATACTAAATAGACTTATTAAGCAAGTAAAAGAGAAAACATATCTAATAATGAAGCCAGAGGAGATTAAGATAAATGTAGCAGAATATTATAAAATGCAGTTTAGAAAAAGAAACACCAAATTAGAAACAATAACAAAAAAGTGAAAGAAGATATACAAGCTAAGAAAAAGCATTAAAAAGAACTAGTATGTAGAAGTTAAAAAAAAATTAAGAAGAAAAATAGAAAAAGATACTAAGAGAGTTAAAGACAAAAACAGTTTTAGGTATTTTAAATATAAGTTATATACTAATCAAAAGAACAGAAATAAAAATACAAGAAGTCTTTAGAAGCTTTATATACTTATACTTAGAAATATGAAAATTTTTAATAAAGTGAAAAATAGTGCAAGTTTATCTAATACTGTATTAAAAGATATAGAATAGAAATATAGCCTAAATAACATTCACTCAATAGCATTAATTGAAACATTTAAAAAAAGTTATAACAAAGGTGTTAACAAAAAGGCTTGCCAAAGTATTTATAATAAAAGAAATACTTAAAGAACCAAACTTCACAGACCTTTCAAGAAACTCAACAGAGCAATCAGTGCAGATTTTAAATATAATAATAAAAAAGGCAAAAGAAAAAAACAAAGAAATATAAATACTGCTACAGAATATAAAAAAGGCATTTGACTTAGTTCTTTTCAAAAGTCTTGAACTAGCATTGCAGAGAGTTAAAATACTCAGAAAAATAATTAAATATATATTGAATTTTTTTTACAAAAAACAATTAAGAATAATTACAGCCTATGGCCTAACAGAAAAACTAATAACAGAAGATAGAATAGACCAAGTTAAAGTAATCTTATTATTAATATGATGTTTCTTCTATGACTCATTACTAGAAAGAGTTCAAGAAAATGAAAGTTTAAGAAATACAGTCAAGTAACAAGTTCAAAAAGATATGCAATGCAACAATATTACAAGATATTATCAAATAACAATTGTATATGCAGATAATACAACATGGATTGCAAACAGTAAAAAGCAATTATTAGAGACTTTATAAATAGCCAAAAAGTTCTTTAAAATGAATAATATAAAGATAAATAGAACAAAATCAAGACTAATAATAATGAACACAAAAATCAAAAAAAAAGAAAGAGCAGTAATATATAAAAAAATAAAATAATAGAAGAACTAAGATATAAAATAGTTTGCTTATTAAAAACATGATTAAACAACAAAATATGAGAAGTACAAATAAAGAAAAAGGAAAAAAATATAATAAATTAAACTATAAGAGATCTAAAGTACAAAAAAATGACAATAAGCCAAATTGTATACATAAACAATATAGTAATAATATTCAAACTAAGCTATATGCTATAGCTAATAAAGATGTTGAACAAAAGTCCAAATAAAATACATTAACCAATAATAAGCCTAGCAAAACAAAAA